GGGGGGGGGTACAAAGGTTCATGCTTCACTTTGGTCGAAAAAAAAAGCAAATTCTTCTGTGTCGTTCAATTTTATTGCAAAACAGAAACAAAAAGACATTCGACTATCTGAGCCTAGCGGAGCTTGAAAAAGAGGAGGCGGGGCTTTCTCCTGCGTAAGCGCATCAAAAGTGATCGATAGCTTTTTTTTTGTGTTGTTTCCAAATACACCTTAAGATTGTATTTTTTTTTCAAAAGTGACAAGGTCGACATCTCTCCGACTCTTTCTACACACGCGTGTGTGTGTGTGTGTGTGTTATCTATACGTGCATATATTTATATATGACAAAAATGCAAATTGTTGTGACGAAAAGATATTTATAGATGACAAAAATGCAAATTGTTTTGATTAAAATTTGAAAATGCTACATTGACTTGATAACTTCCGAATGAAAAGAAAAAACAAGCAAAAAAAAAAGGGATTGCTTCCAGTGCTTTTCGCGAATGAATGTTGTGGATGGACTAGCTAGCGACTAGCTAGCGACATGTTTTAGCTTCCTTCTTCTTCTTCTTGCGCAAAAACACACATTTGCTTGTATTTCATCACCCTGTTATCCCAAAATAATCCACAGTATGACGCCCCGCCCCCCCCCTCCGCAAAAAAAAAAAAGCAGGTTATTCATTGGCTAGAATGGATTTATGAGGTAAAAATGTCGCCCGCGGCACTCCCGCTAGGATGGGCTAATGCGTCGCCCTACTTTCACCACGCCAACAGTCGAGCGCTAACCGGGGCATGGGCGCTAACGAAGCACATCACACGTTTTTTGGTTCCGGTGGAAGCTCGTCGATATGAACAGCCAAACCCAACAAAAAAAAAAAACGCGAGGAGCGGCGCTTTGTAGCCTTAGCAGCAAGCGTCACGCGACGCCCGCGCGCGGCGCGTAAAACCAGCGTGCCTAGCCTAGCTTAGCTTGCGATACATTCTACATGAGCAAAGTGAAGCAGCGCAAACAGGAAGTGGTGCATATTCGCCCAGTTTAGCCCTTAAAGATGCGGGTAAAAAAAAAAAAAAATAATAATAATAATAATAAAGTGTTTACGAGATACCGAAGCCCCGCCCCCTTTTACTGAATGGCCAGGAGCTCCGACAGTCGGGCGACATGTTAAGCAAACGGTGTAGCATTATTGCGTCCGCGCGGCTTGACGACGGCGATAAAGTGCAGCAGTGACCAACGACACACACACACACACACACACACACACACACACACACTCGACCTCACGTGCACTAATAGCGAGACGCTAGCTTTTGCTTTAGCGACCCTCTGACCACAAGGTCGGCTTGAACCATGCTAGCAGCCACGCGCTAAAACGCTCATGTCGCTCCTGACTGAAGCAGGAACATTTCGGAAAGCGATTGAAAAAAAATTAAAACTAAAAATCATAAACAAGAACAAAAAGATGACAATAAAGTGGGAGTGTTTTCGCTACAAAATGGCAAAGACGCGTCCAGTGAACACGACGCGTGTCTTTGTGTCCCCTCCATCGTCGTCCCTCTTTGCATACGTGGGGGAAACGGCGCGTTTGGTGGCGTCGCTCGCGGAAAGTCAGTGGAAAGAAACGCCAAAAAGCTGTCGGGCGGCCACAGGAAGACTCCGCAAAGTCCACTTCCTGTTCCTCACGGGGGACTTCCTGTCTGAGCCTTGAGCTTGCGCGACACGTTGGCGGGACTCGTTTATTGCATCGTCAGCACCGGCGTGCGTGCGTGTGGGCGTGTCTTTGAGTATACTTGTGCGCGCGCGCATGTCTGGGTGAGTTGGGCCCGCCACCCCCCCCCCCCACGCCGTGCCGCCGCCTCCAACCGGCGGCGGCGGCGTGGGCGGGGCTGCTCTCGGCCGAGCGGCTCCTCTGGATGAAGGCGGCGCCGCCCCCGTGGGGGTAGTGCTCCGTCTCCAGGGCGGACGAGGAGAAGACGTAGGAGGCCAAGCGCCTCAGCTGATTGGGCCGCGGCTGGGGGCGGTCCTCGTCCGGCTGCAAACAGACCAATCGCAGAGAGGGGGGCGGGGTTAGCCGGTGGAAGCCTTTGTTTTGAATGTTTTTTGTTTTGTTTTGCTTTTTGGAAATCCAATGTGCGCCGTAGCGTGGCTTCCTGTCCTCGGCTCCTCCCCTTCCCCCTCCCTGAGCCAATCAGGCAGGACGCAGCTGATTGGAAGCTTTCTCGGCTGATTGGTTGAGGGTGACGGGGGGGGCGGAGCCTGTCTCGACCCTTAGCTTCACCGCGAGAGGAGGACGAGGAAGAAGAAGGACCCCGTTGATCCCGAAGCGCGCTTACCCTCGAGCGCGTCGGAAAAGAGGGGCACTTTTATTTTGAAAGGCAAACCACGGAAAGCCTCGGCAATCGCGAAGCTTCAGATAGTGCGCGGCGCTCCCCCTTGGCTAGCCTGCCTCCTATGCGACGCGAGAAACTCCGCGCGGGCGTAGGACCGAAACCGGAAGCAAACACCGGGGACCGGACCCGATTTCGAAGCGGAGCCGAGCGTGAACCGGATGAGGCGGCAAACTCGCAAAGAAGGGAACCGGCGCCGAGCGACGAAGACCCGAGACGGCGAGAAAGCAGAAAAATCGAGTCTCCCGCCAAACAATCAAACGAGCGTCTGAGCGCGGGCGCCAGCGGGCGGGAAGCAAAACGGCTCCGCCTCCTCCGCCTACGGGGTTCTTACCGGCCGCGGCGGTCCGTCGGGCCGGGGGCGCGCCGAGGGCAGCGAGTGACACGGCGAGCGGGCGGGGCTCCCG